ACATTTAATTATGCTCTTTGTAATTGAAACATTGATAGTAGAGCGTTGTCCTATTAAACTGATAAAGAATATCTGCAAAGTACAATTGGTTCTTCCAATCCCAAAGCTCATTTTAAATTTTTAAAAGTATATCAAAACCCTGGCAATTGATCCTAATTGATTACAAACACATTTTAGAATTTTAAAGTATATTACCGTATTTTTCCATGTATAAGAGGATACTTTTGTCTAAAATCTTTAGACTAAAAATTGAGGGACATGGAAGTAAGCTGAGGAGAGAACAAAATAGCCCGTGCCTTGCCTCTGCAAACAGGCTTCCTTCAATCATGAGGCTTAGCTTCCTACAGTCAGGAGACTTAGCTTCCTCCAATCATAAGCCTTATATAACTGATGTCAGCTAATACTGTACAAACCAATTGGAACACACCTCCTTGGAGGTGGAGCTGTAGACAGTGCTCAGATACAACAGGGACTTGTAATGTCTGAGTGTTCTGAGCCCAGAGGTTGAATACTCAAAGCTAAGTTTTCTTAATCTGGGGTTAGAAAAGTGGGGGGCATTTTATACATGGGGGCAACTTATAGACAGGAAAATTCAGTACTTAGGGTACATATGAAAACTATATTTTTAAAAAAAGTTGAGTAATTTATTTTGTTGTGAAACCATTAACTCAGTCTTCCGCAACTTGGTGCCCTCGATATGTATTGGAATACGGTACCATCTTCCCCAGGTAGCATGCTGAGTGGAACTGATAGAAGTTGTTGCTCATCTCTTTTAGTAGATAACAAGTTAGAGAAAGAGGGGGGGCGGGTTAGGCAACAGGTGCCGGAGTTACACCATCTAGCCAGTTCTTTTCCAGCACAGACTATAGGTCCAGTCCAATAGATTAGTTATCTTCACAGCAGGGAGCAGACAAAGGCATGGTCAGTTCTGGTCCATTTGTCAGAAGTTCCTGGAATCTTGACAGGCAGCATGGAGAGCAAGCAAAAGGGAACATTTTCTCCTACAAAGGCTTTACTATTAGCAAACACATAATTTATAGCCCTCAGATAGCAATTGCATCCCATTTCTAATCGGTAGTCAGGGTGCCTTAAATGCTGATCCTGTTTTTTATCTAATCTTTTCAACATCTGCCTCTCCCTTGGATTAATGGGCCTCATATTTCTTATGTCCTCTTCAAACTTGGAGGTTTCACTGCCAACTACTTCCTAAAATTTCAGGAATGACACTGATAGCTGAAGCACTGAATTCTCCTTTTACACTAGCCACTTCTGGCTGCATGAGATGCTCCTCTCCCTCTAAAGATGAGTCAGTAAGGTGGGATGTAGCAAAGCTGAACTAGAACGTGTAGGAAAGCATTTTCCTTTTCAGTTGCTCTGCCACTGGATATATGCAAGCGCAACAATAAATAAAACAGATTAATTAGGTGTTTAACTTGTGATTTAGCACTAAATCCACTAAAAAAAATAATGACTGCCACCAGTCATTATTGTTCTTTCCCAAGAACAGCAGCTGTCTTGTGTATTAAGAAGAAGAGACTAACTATTGCTGAGGGGGATTTCTTAAATGTCAACCCCCATGCTAACTGAGAGGTTCTGGAAGCTGACATCCAAAAATTAAATTATTCAAGCTCTGGGACTAACTGTGTTGCTATTGCAATTGTGAAGCCCCCAAACTCTAGCCTTTCAACTGCCTAAAAAAATGATTCTTTTGTATTTTACATCCTACCAACTACAGTTTCAAAGAACCTGGGCTACCATAATATAAAAGTTTGGTTTACAATAATTCTTCTATGTTATGCTGTACACTAAATTGGTGGGCAGGGGATAAGAGAGGATTAGAAAATACACTGGCTGAAACACAGAAGTAACTCACAAATCGAGTAGGCCCATCGAATTAGTGGGAATTTGATGAGTCAGCACTTGTGTACGTTCCATTGATTAAATGAGCCTATTTTAGTTGCATTTTATTACTGGATTTCATTCAATGAATGTCCAGAATTTCTCCTAGAATGCTAAAAGCTCACAGATGATCAGTTAGGGTCTGTAGGAGACATGATATTCATATCAGCGATTCCATATCAGTGATGAGGTCTACCCAGTAACACTAGACTGGTTTGTGATTGTCTGATGGGTGACTAAGATGAGAATCAATCAGACTGCGCCAGCGGAAGATGTATTTGAAAGTAAGAAGAGGAGAGAGGGGAGAGAGAGTTATGTTGAGCAAGTTGGCTGAAGCCGTTGGTTTGATGTTTAGCTGCCTGAAGTATAAGATCCAAACTGAAAGTAAAATTGTAACCACACACATGAGTATCTTTTGTATGACCAATATGATATTAATAAAATGACGGCTTGGTTCATATGAAAACTATGCTCAGATCTCATTATATTGGGCTGTAAGCAAGTCCAGAAACAGAAAAGGGCAGGTTAAAGGTAATTAGCCAGATTGGGCTAGTCACAACACATTCCGGGGGAAATAAGGACTGAGGAAATGTGAATTCTTGGTTACTGTTATGAAAACACTGTGCCCCACCTGGGCTACTTCTGTGTGATGCCAAGGGTACATGTACTACTGCCTGAGAATTACTGCCCTAAAACCTAGTACATTATTACTGGACCAAGGCTAAGAGGACCAACCCTTCAACATGGAATGGAATATGATTAAAGCCCCATGCCAATTAGAACCCATGACAAGTAAAATGTATGGTTTATTAAGAGAGGACCTTCAATGGGAGAAGGGGCAGAGTGACAGCAACAAGAACAGGGGAATCCTAGGGCTCTGGGAACACCTGCGTCAACTCCAGGTCAGAGATCCCCCAGACGTGAAGGGGGGGCAACTTTTCACAGGAGAGTGGACTTGCAGCAAAAAGGGCCAGGAAATTTCCAAATTCAAACTGCCATCTGTCTTCGTGAGTTTTCTTTCCTCAAAGCATCTGACTCAGGAGATGCCATTCTGGTGAAATCAGCTGTCTAACTTTGCCAAGGAGGGGAGGTGTGTGAAGAAGATTTATGCCTGACTACATGAACTGTGAGTAACTGACTTTGTATTCAGCCTCAGCAAGTATAAATAAAAGGCTGACTTTAAAGAAGAGAAAAATAAACAAAAACGGGTGAAGGAGCATTTGTATCTCTGAAACATCAGCAAATTTTTATAACATAGTTATGTAGTTAGATTTCTTATTAGATAGTGTATTATGGTAATCACTTCAAACTAGAAATTCTTTTGCTGAATTTAATATTAGAAGTTTTTATCTGAAATATATATATATATACATATAAATAAATAAACAAAAATATACATATATACATATACTGTACATACAGATGTTATTCCAACTGATAATGTTCCAATGTTTGTAACAGCAGCTGACATTACTCTGAAGAGCTAGTCTTTTCAGGAGCTGGTATAGCGCAGAGAGCTGGCTTACAGGCCTGGAGTTGCAGACCCACTTGGGAAACGGGTCAACTAAGATCAATAATGAACATGACATTCTGTACACAGTGCCACCTCTTGATTCCTTCTTATCTAATGAGTCATAATTGAGTGTGGGAGCTGGCATGGCTCAGTGAGTTAAAACATCTGACTGTGAAGCCAGAGCTGAGAGTCTGAATGTTCTAGGATGTGTGGCCAATAGGGTTAAGTGCTCTTAACCAAGTTGTATTGTCCTAGGGCACTGCCAGGAGGGACTGGTAAACCATTTCTGAATACTTCATTTCTAGAAAACCCTGAGAGAGCTGCTGTAAGCTGAAATTGACTTAAAGGAACAGGATGTTGGCCTGTCAGATTGTTTTAAGAAAATTTTGCACAATTTTAATGTAGGCATAAGAGCATTTTAACAATAAAAAAGGAAAAATCACTGCATTTACAATACCATTTTTATTTATTACTTTTTTCCATAAAAACAAAATGGATGGCAAATTAGCCCCAATTAAAGACACGTTATATATCTGAGATGAGAATTATTCGCTTCCCGGTAATAGGGTCAGAGAGAATTGTCTTAGACACTCACTCCTGCTTCCCCAGGAGCCAAATTTTTATAATGTTGCATTTTTATTAGAAAAATATATATTTATAAAACTTTCCATAATAATATCAAAATTCTATATAAAGACTAGTCATCTTTTTTCCTGTTGTTTGGACACAAGCACTGAAGGAAAGTAATGGAGCACCTGGTGATACTTGGAAATATTCCTCTCCATTGTGTTCCATTTACAGCTTACAAAAACGAAATGCATGAAAGAACAGAGCTTAGAAGAGTTATTTGTTTTTGACTTCAATCCTGAAATCTTAGTCAGCATAGGCACAGTCTATGCTGCCTGACGGATTGTGGGAGTTGTAGTTTAAAAAAAGGAGTTTTTCTGAGTTCTGAAAAAAGAGAGACAATCTCTTAGCTCTCAGGTGGTCCATCCAGTTTACTGGCCAGTGTGCACAAGCAGCACACATTAAAATAAAGAACAGATGCGTACATGATAGTATGGCAGATTAAGACTTTGGGTTGTTGTTTTTTGTGCTATCATTTCTGCAATGAGTGAACTCAACATGACTTCACAGCAATGTGCCTGAATCCTATAAACCACAGGCCTACATAAAAGTAGACTATCAAAATAATTTTAACCTACAGAGTTCTCCTATAGAATTAAAAGACAATCAATATCCTTGGTATGGTGTTTTCATGTTGTGCAAAACATTCTTGCCCTTCAAGATTGATTCAATGTAAGGAAAAGCGAAACAGGTGCTACTGCATTTCGGAAATTCAATGGTTCTATAGAAAGGGAAGGAAACCTGGCCGATGTAGTGTCCAGAGGCAGACGTATCCTAAACACATCTCCTCACAGTTGGGAAGAGTCAGAGGGAGGTGGGGATCTCCATATTATTTCCAGTCTCAGTGACTGGAGGTAAAGCAGTGATTCCCCAAAAATCCTGGGTAAATCACCCAGCTCCTCTCTCTTCTTTAATTTATTAAATGCCTGTTCATACAAAGACTGCAAAAGTACTTGAGCATTTTTTGGATTTATTTTCACATAAACATCTTATGCTAAAGCTCTCTCCTGGAAAATAGACCTTCCCTGAGCAGAAGATACTTTTTGTATGTGAAAGGGCTTCTTTGGATCTATCCCATAATCCCATATTTTCTTGCCATCATACATAAAGGCAATGATACCTGTTTCACCTAAAATACACAACTGCTACTTCAGCACTCACTTTTTCCTTACAGCTGCTGCATATTATTCAGTTCTTTCTTCAGATATGATATATTGCAGCAGTCCTCAGAAACAATACCTGAAAAGGCTTCTTTGGTCATTATAAATATTTTGGAACATTCACCTCAAACCATTAATATAAAAATATTGACAATATGCAGAGAAGGCGGGAAAAAGAACTGAAGCATGCCTGTATAATTCAGGCTTGTCTGTTGTCTCCCAGTCTGAAGATGCTTCAAGGAAGTAGGATGGTATTAATTTCAAGGGACATCCTGAGGCCATTTATATAAGCCTAAATACAGATCACTGATTAAATCCATATGTTAAATGTTGCAGTCAAAATCCTCAATTTTTTAACACCTAAACAAATAGTTTATAAAGAAAGCCAGCCTTCCACAACCTCGTGACTTCCAGGTACGTTGGATCCAACACCCATCATTCTTTCTAAACCTGCCCTGCAGAATTGGAGAGGGTAAGTTTAATAAAAGTTCCTCTCAGCTGTATTAGACCGGTCCTTTTCTTATTGAAAATGAAACAAGTGGGTAATTCTGAACATCCTAAAGTGGAATGTGGCAGTTTAACATTTGTAATTTGTCGATTTCTCATATATAGTTTTTATAACAGTCCCCTTCACAACCAACAGTCTTCGCAATTTATGTCGACATAAAGCACTGGGTGTACTGGGAATTCCAAGATCTATTTGCATGTTGTCAGGTGATACTCGACAGCATCATACAACCGCTGTTGTCTTTTCCAATCAAATGTTTCTTGCAACGTTACCTGTTTTCATCTAACTGATTTACCTGTTAAATAGATGAAAAAATTAATTAAAATTATTGTTTATTATTATAGATAACTTAAGGCTATTATATTTTGAGCAGCACAAACCTGCAAGGCCACTGAATCACATGCAAAAGCTGATGCCAAAAGAAACTTGTTTGTAGGATTCCCCCTCCCCCATCGGCACAAAAACCTCTCTGTTGTTGTAAGCCGCCTAGAGTGGTCTTAATCGACTAGATAGGAGGGATATCAATAGAATTTTTAAAAAACTAAGAAAGCTAGCAAATTAACACCCAATAATTTTTTTTCTGTAGAGATTAAAAGACAAGACTGCCTCCTGCCTGCAGGTTCACTATTCAATAGTAAGGCTATAAAAGAAACAAACAAAACAATGTGGAAGTAAAAAGCAAGCAAATTCAGACCATGTAACCTAAACAGCAGCATCTGATTATGCCAGGGGCTGCCTGGAGTTTAAGCAAACAAGAACCCTACCCTGTTTCCCTGAAAATAAGATCTAACCTGAAAATAAGCCCTAATATGATTTTTCAGGATGCTTGTAATATAAGCCCTACCCCCCCCCAAAAAAAATAAGTCCTAGTTAAGTGAAGCCCCGTCCTCCACCATTGTGCAGCAACCAGATGACATGACTGTAAAATAAAACATCCCCTGAAAATAAACCCTAATTTTTTGGGGGGGGGGGAGCAAAAATTAATATTAGACCCCGTCTTATTTTTGGGGAAACACGGTAGTACGTCTTGAGTTCTCTGGCTGATGGGACTGTACAGGCCAGAACATGCTTCCTTTTGGTTCTGCAATCCTGAAGCAACTGGCAGCAGCAATATATAAAAGATGGTTTTCTTATCCAATGCCCAATTTCTACAGGCTGATGAAAAAAATGTGAGGGCAGGGTGTGCCTAAATTTATTTAATTTTGCTTTTACTAATGACCGAATTTCTCATTTCAACTAAGTAGAGCTCTTCTATGCTTCTACTACGTAAGATTTAAGAAGTTAAAAAATAGCTTCTATTTTGTCTTGCCCAACCAGCTGACAGAATGTTGACTTACTTCCTCTCCCTTTCTGTAGCCATCTAGGCTGTCTGAGGGCTCCAGGGAGATTTCCAGTATTCCAGAGCTGCTTTTGGAGGTCTATATGTGCTTGCAAGTGGAGTGGCAAACTTACCCAGTTCCTGCTCCACCTATGGAAGTCCATTGTTAGATTCTGCCCCCACTAGAATATTATTTCTTCCTATAGTGCTTATTTTAGTGACTGCATACTTTATATCATCCAAGCAATTCTAAAAGGACTTCCCCAAAAATGCCAACCCATTTTATTCTTTGAAAAAAAATATTTTGCCTCCATTGGAATTTCACTGAATAATTGAGATGTTTTTAATAAATGATAAGCTTACACTAAACATTTGTAGTTTCCAAATCTCATTGCTGCAGGATCAAAATTAAAAGTTACTGTATTTTTCCGTGTATAAGACAATACTTTTGTCTAAACTATTTAGATTAAAAATTGAGGGTCATCCTATACACGGAAGTAAGGAGGGGGAGGGATCAAAGTGCTTTGACTCCTGCTTTCCCCCTCCACTTTCTTCGCAAAAGGTAGAGGGGGGAGCAGGAATCAAAGTGCTTTGATGATTCCTGCTTTCACCTCCACTTTCTTGCGAGGGAAGTGCTTTTCCCCTCCAGGTTCTTTGCAAGGAAGTGGATGAGGAAAGCACTTTCCTTGCAAAAAAAAAAGTGCAAGAAAGTGGAGGGGGAAAGCAGGAATAATCAAAGTGCTTTGATTCCTGCTTCCCCCTCCACTTTCTTGTGAAGACATAAATTTTGGGCATCTTATACAAGGAAAAATATGGTAAATTTAATTTTTTAAAAGTAACCAGGCTGAGCTTACTCATGACAAGCAGCTATTAAAATGACAAAACAAAGATCCTTTTCAATTCCATTTTTTAAATTTGCCATATATCTGCTACAGGAAAATCTTGCAGATGCCTTTTATAAAGAGAAGAAATGGGAAATATGAAACCAAAACCCCTTCTTGGTATCACATATTTAATAGTCTGTCAGTAACAGAATGACTAAGTAAAAGCAGAAAAGTTAGAGAGTACACAGGATGAGAGGAACTCTGCCAAACATATCACTGCAATATACAATGATAAAAAACAGAATGCCTCTAATATTTTGAGAATTCTTTATTCATGGATATGCAACAAAATATTAAACATACAAGAACTAAGGAGAAACAAAATATTTTACAAATGTTCAGTTAAATGGGACTTTTTTCCCATGACCAAGTCAGTATAAGCACTGTTTCTAAAAAATAAAAATAAAAATCATTTTTACTCTGCCTTTTTGCTTTTAAGTGTTTGATAGGTAGGCATCTGCAGATCTTCTATGGTCTCTGCAATAGGTTTGTTTAGAGTTTCTGGAAGCAGAAGAGTCAGGAAACCAGCCGATAATCCACTAATTCCAAAGACCACAAATGGTACAGATGGACCAAGGGTTTTCTAAAATAAAGTAATAATAAACTAATTATGAAATGACACACATTAAAGACTTATTGGCTGAACTCCTGTTTAAGTTCTGAGACATAAGACAGATGATGTCCTCAGCCAGGGCAATTTTTTGGAAATTAAGCATTTACCCCTCCCGTTACAAAATGCCTATCAGTCCCAAGTAATTTGTTTCACAGTCAAGACCATATGAGAACTCAGCAATGGGACAGTGCACCTTTAATTACTGAAAATGGCTGCCGTCAGAATAATTTTACTACTGACACAAGTTTTTGGTATTTAAAGACTTCCTCCTCCTCCTGTCTCTCATCTTGCACGAACTCCCAATGATGAAAGGGATCACTTGAAATCCACAGAGGTCTTGGAATGGGAGGGAAAATGTGTGATTTTTAAGAAATTGCCGTAATTGTTTATTTCATCAACCTGATGCCATGGAATATATGTGAACAGGATTTCAGTCACTGAAGAACAATTATCCCAAAATTTACTACCTATTCAATTCATATAAAAATGCAACAAATATTCACTTGAAAAGCATTTGCATATAGAAACCTAAATGGTAAAGCAGTGGGAAAGTCATATGACTATTCCACGACTGCCGTTTTCATCTGTTGTACTAAAAACCTTCTTTTGGGAAGGCTTGCAGAATTGCCAAGGTGTGGATGTACCAAAACTCTATCTCACCTCTATCCCTGCATTTGCTGGTAAACATTTCTTAGGCACAGTTCTCATATGTGACTGATCAAACCACCTACATATGGATAAAAGGCCAAACTACACAAGCGGGAGGTTTGTAACTGTATCTCCTAATACATTAATTTCTAATGAAATACAGCACAGGATATTTCTGTGTGTCAGAATTTGACTAGACAATATGATTAGGTGAGGGAGAATTCAGCCCTCTTTTCACACTACATTCTCCTATTTGTAAGGACCACTGATCCCACATTCCCCACTTTGGCTACTTCTCTGCAAGAGCTGAACATTGCTCCAGGCTTCACCATGGCCACTGTCATCATAAAGAGGAGATCTTTGAAACTTGAGTCAGCAATCTGGAATCTCTATACATATGCAAACTACACCAGTATTTGTATTATATGGCCTGGGTCCAAACTATCTCAAATACTGTGTCTCCCATTATGAGCCTACTCAGGCGTTAAGATCTGAGCTGGCCTCATCTATGTTGTCCTTTCACAAGCAGCCAAAGACCTTTTCTCTTCAGGCAAGCTTTCCCTCAATTACTGGTTGCCCGAGTAAAATTTTAACTAGATGACTGGCTACAGTATTTTTTGGTTCCATTTAAATATTTGCATAATTACAGGCGCACCTCCCTTAACAACTAAGTTCCAATTCAATTGTTAAGCAAATTGGTTATTAAGTGAGGAGCTTAAAGGCAGAAGCAGGAAGGAATTGGAGCAGGAGCTAGCCAGAAGAGTAGCCGCAGCAGCATTGCTGCTGATTTGAGCTCAGGCGTTGGTCATGGCTGGTTTGGAGGCAGAATGAAACAAAGTCCGAGAAAGGAGATTTCCCCATGCTGGAGAAATGGTTGTAAGTCTGAGCTGTTGTAAAACAGGTAGTGAGGAGTGCCTATATTGTTTTAGCTTTAATACTGTTTTATTAATGATGCAAACTACCTCTTTATACTCATTGCTTTCAGCTTTAAATATTGTTTTGAATGATCTAAAAGAGAGGTTACGTACCTGTAACCATGGTTCTTCTAGTGGTCCTCTGTGAATCCACACAATTGGGTTGTTTTGCACCTGCGCAGGATGTCTCGGAAGTTTCTAGATCTTAAAGACATGTGATTAGTAGGACATTCCCCCATGGAGCGCATGCTCCGCCCTCCAAAGGTCCCCTCAGTTCCTGTAAGAGTCTGCCGCTGTCAAAGAACTATATCAAAAGACAATGTGACGGACAGAGGGGAGGATGGGCAGGATGTGTGGATTCACAGAGGACCACTAGAAGAACCATGGTTACAGGTAGGTAACCTCTCTTTCTTCTTTGTGACCTCTAGAAATGAACACAGTTGGATGACTGACAAGCTCACTTACCGGATGGTGGGACATCACGGTAGAAAGGATGTCAAAACCACTCTGTCAAAAGCAACATCATTCTTTGCCCAGACATCCAGACAGTAGTGCCTCACAAAGGTCGATGGATTAGACCATGTAGCTGCACGGCAGATGTGAGGGAGTTCTAGTCCACGCTGGAAGGCAGTCGAGGTTGACAGCACTCTGGTAGAATGAGCTCTTAAATGTTCAGGCGGTATTGGTAGAATGAGCTCTTAAATGTTCAGGAGGTATTGTGCCTGTGAGCTCATAGGCCAAAGAGACAGTTTGAACAATCCAGCGAGATAGTTTGAGGTGAAGCTGGGGTATCCTTATGAGGACCATGAAAGCATAAGAAGAGCCTTGGAGACTTTCTGAATGATTTAGTTATATCGATGCAAAAGGCCAAAGAGCATCTTACGTCAAGCACGTGGAGGATGTGCTCAAGAAGTGTAGAAGGAAACAGAAATCAATGGTTGATTGAGGTGAAATTCAGAGACAATTTTAGGTAAAAATGATACATCAATATAGAGGGTAATCTTATCAGAATGGAACTGAAGGAAAGATGAGGGCTGCAAGTTCACTAGCACATTTAGCAGATGTTATTGCTACAAGGAATGATGTTTTTAAAGAAAGTAATTTGAAATTAGTAGTAGCCGCCGGTTCGAAAGGTGGTTGGGTAAGTGCTTTGAGAAGAAGTTGCAAAGGCCATTGAGGAGAAGGATGTTGACGTGGGGGACAGATATTGTGGAGTCCTTTGAGGTATTTCTTCAAAACTGGGTGAGAGAAAAGCCTAGCCGAGTCAGACTGAGAAGGCTGATGGGTTACAATAGCAGAAATCTACACCTTGAGGGTAGAATGAGAGTCCGAGAAAGAGATGATGGATAAAGGTAAGTAAAGTCTTCAGAGAAACCAGTGTTGCAGGTAAATTCTGAGAATTAGTAAAAGAAAGGAATGTTTTCCATTTGCTGTGGTATAACCGTTGGGTCGATGGCTTATGGGCTCGGTCTAATATGTTTTTCATAGCGGGAGTATCCTCCACGCTGTCAGGTTCATAGAGTCTATGTTGGCGTTCAGACTAGAGGCAGGCGGTGCATCATGGCCTCTCCCAATTTGAAGATACCCTTGCCCAGCAGGCCGAGGCAAAGAGGCAGTCCCGAAAGCAGCAAAATCAGGGAGCTGGGCAGGGGACAGATTGGATTTCTCTTCAGTGTGGAAGGGATTGTCACTCTCAAATTGGTCTTCTCAGCCACATTAGACACTGTTCCAAGTTCTACATACAGAGCATGTTACCATAGTCTTTCAAGATTGAAGGATGCCTAATGATGACGATGGCTTATGGGCTTGATCTAATATGTTTTTTATAGTGGGAGTATCCTCCATGCTGTCAGGTTCAGAGAGTCTATGTTAGGGTGGTAAATCATCCCATTGTCCTGGGTCAGAAGGTTGGTGATCAATGGGAGATGGAACACAATGGTCGATATCAACCTCAGGTGGGTGAATCATGGCTGGTGTGGCCACCATGGAGCGAGGAGGACGGCATTTGAGTAGAACTGTCAAAGTTAAATAATGATTTGTTGTATAAGTGGAATTGGGGGAAATAGGTAGAGTAGGTCTCCGACCCAGTCTATCATACGTGAGTTCCTGTCAATACCGGCTCGGGAGCAATACTGCTGTCACTTGGTGTTGGTCTCAGAAGCAAATGGATTGATGGACAGGACACACCATCGGTGACAGAGAAGGTCGAAAACTTTGTCGTTCAATGTCCATTCATGCGTCCTTGTGGTAAGGCGACTGAGATGGTCTGCAATAAGGTTGCCCCCTGTGGCAACGTGGACCGCTACTGGGAAGACATGGTGTAGGTAGCACCATTCCCAGAGTTTGACAGGAGCGAAAGGAAGTGGGTACCCCCCTGCATGTTTACATTGTACAGTGCTGTGGTATTCTCTGTAGCTAGCTGTACTGCTCATCCTGCAATGAGAGGTAAGAAGGCGTGGAAGACCTTGATAATTGCCAAGAGTTTGAGATGGTTGATGTGTAATAATTGTTCTTGCCTCTTCCACATACCATGTTATCTTGTGATGTCGACGGGCTGGCGTCGGTGGTTACCTGTATTGAGAGCTGTAGAGGCTGAAAGGGTCTGCTTCCAATCAAGTGAGGAAGAAACATCCACCAGGCAAGTTGACTTGCGAGTTCTAATATTAATGTGAGATATATGGATGGGTGATCTGTAATGGGATTGAATAGTGATAGATACCATGACTGTAGGGACCTCATTTTGACCCTTGCATGCTGGATAACGGCTGTTGTGGAAGCCATAAACCTAAGAAGGTGCTGGGTTTGATGCATCGATACCGAAGCTAGGGGTTGGAATGGTCAGATGGCTCATTTTAGTTTGATGATTCTCTCTTGAGGGACAAAGGCTCTGGCTTGTAGGGAGTCAAAGCACGCCCTGATATAGGTGGCAGTCTGTGAGAGCTCAAGATGGGACCTGGCAAGGTTTACCTTGAGTCCAAGATCTTGGAGAGTATTGAGTTTGGTAGCTGTGACAGCATCGTGATAAGAAGGGGTGACTATTAACCAGTCGTCTATGTATGGAAATATGGTAATACCTTGAAAATGGAAGTAGGCAGCGACTGGTGCCATACATTTGGTAAAGGTCCTCAGTGCCGTGGAAAGTCTGAACGGGCGAGAGAGCAGAATTGGCATGAGATGTTGTTGAATCAAAATCGTAGAAATTTGTGATGATGCGGATGGATAGAGATGTGAAAGTACGCATCCTGTAGGTCAATTATAACAAACCAGTCTTCCTGTGAAAGAAGAGGGATGATAGTGTTGAGGGTCAGCATTCTGAAGTGTCTAGGTTGAATGAATTTATTAAGGTTTCTAAGATTGAGAATAGAGCGGAGTCCTCCATCCTTTTTGGGGACTGCAAAATATCTGAAGTAGAATCCATCATGCAGGGTAAAGGACGGGACTACGAGTATGGCTTGTTTTTGTAGAAGAAGGGAATCCTCTTCATGGAGAGCTAGTGAGTATGGAGTAGTCTTAATGGTGCCAGAGGGTGGGGTAGGTTGGAATTCAATGAAATAACCATTTTGGACAATAGAAAGAACCCACTGATCATTAGTGATTTGGCATCAAGCACTGATGAAGGGATGGAGTCTAGTTTGGAATGTACATATGGATACTTTTGTGGGTGTCGAAAGGGTTGTCAACGTGTTTCTTGTTGTTGAGGTCAAAAGGCACGTATTGTAGATGTAGATGGGCCTGGGTAGGATCTGTCAGATACTTGTGGTTTGTATGGTCAATATGGTTGAAACTGCTGTTGAAAGAAAGATTGTCTTTGAAATTGAGGGTGCTGATACTGGTAAGGTTGTTGGGTAGAATATGAACGTTCTGTTTTACGGATTTTATAGAGGTTATCCATTACTTCATCTGTTTTAGTATTGAAAAAGCCAGCACCATCAAATGGAAGGTCTTCTATCCTTGATCTAGTATCATCTGAGATACCTGCTGATCTCAGCCGGGCATGAGCCCTCAAGGCAATAGAAGTGGAAATAGCTTTAGAGGCGGTGTCCATGGTATGGCAGGAAGCAATTATTTGCTGTTTAGCTAAGGTTGAAGCCACAGTGTGAATATTTAGGGCTTCTGTCTTGGTGGTGTATGGAGCCACTTGAATGATAGGTAGAATTCTATTCCATACCTAGCAGTGGTACGTGCCCATAGCGGCTTGGTAATTAGCGACCCTCGTGATAAATGATGTAAGGGAATAGAATCGTCTTCTCAGAATGTCAGGTTTTCTTCTTTCTCGGTTGGTGGGAATTACAGATGATTTATTACGTGTTCTTGATTGATTAGATTCCACAATAATTGAGTTTGGTATGGGATGTTTAGAGGGGAAAGCTGTGTCTGGACCGTGAGTTTTGTAATGATTTTCTACGCATCTCAGAATTTGAAGTGAGGAAGGGGGGTTTATCCCATGATTCTTTTACTAAATAAACATGGCAGGGATGAAACTCAAGCTAAGGGGTGGTGTTTTATCCTGATTAAGATCATAGAAGACCAGGTCTTTCTTTTGAGCTGGTGGTTCTTCGATATCGAGTTGTAAATATTTTGCCATTTGCATAACAACCTGGGAATAAGATGTGAAGTCTTCTGATGGGGATGGTGGATGGTTTTCGCCCACATCAGAAGTTGTGGTAGGTAAATTAGAGGGTGATTCCTGGGAAATACCGAATGTTAAATCTTGAGTAAAAAGGGACGATTGTGAGGATGGTGATCTGTGTAGTGGTTTGGTTGCCAATGCCGAAGGTTGTGATGGTGGAGGTAGTTGGTGTATGGGAGGTATATGTGATACCGGATGTTGTTCAATGTCAGCAGGAGGAGGGGGAGGTCCTTTTTAAGTGGTGGTGACTTGGAGAGACGTATGATGTCAAGAGTGCTTGGAAGAGTGCTTAGCTTGTTTGGGTTGCGGCTGAGAATCCAGTACCAGGAGAGTATGTTTGAGAGCTGATTTCGTAGGGATCGATGTATGGTGAGTCAATGTTGGATATGCTGTGGATGAACAGCATCTATGTCATGATAGTGAAGGTGATATGGAAGGTGAGTATCGGGGTGAATAAGCATCTCTCACCCTCCTTGGTTCATCACAATAGACATGCTCAGTCAGGTCTTCAGGATAGTAGGGGCCGTAGTGGTGGTACCAATCCCCATGGTCATCTCTAGCTGAGTATCGAGATGGTTTGGGACAATAGTAAAATTCCCTGTGTGGAGGGGCATATTGGATTAGAGAAAGGTGTCATCTCTTTGCCCAGTGTTAGCGGAGAGATTGATGAGACAACTCCGAGCCAGAGACCTGAATAGGTATTGCCTGCCCTGATGATCTAAGGCTTGAATTGGCCAAGGCTGGGCTGGAATGAACATTAGCCAGAGATAGGCCAGTACTCGGCAAAAGGCTAGTAATGGAAGCTGCAGGCTGAGCCAGTGTTAAAGTTAGTTTATCTCTATCCGAGATTGAGCCAGGGGCGTCTCTAGATGACACATTGAGGATCGATGATGGGAGCACCAGTTGAGGTGGGTCTATTTGAGTCAATTTCGTAGGTTTCTTAGTTTTCTTAAGTTTAGCCTTATCTTTCTTTTTCTTAGAAGAGTCACTGGGACAGGTTGGAGCTTTTGACATGGATGCTGAGCTCAATTTTGAAGCGGACTTCAAAGGGTCTTTCTGTTGAGGTGACGGAGTCGTCAGGCTCGATATCAGGTGAGGAGTTTCTCAATGTTCTGGACGCAGAATTGGAGAGGTTGCCAGATCCATGGGGACCAGATTAAGAGACTTTTCGCAAAGGTGAGCAAAGCCTTTGTAGGCATAGTTTTAAAGCGAGCTTTGTAAGCTTTTTGCACTCAGGGCAGGAGTGTGTTTGGTATTGCGCCCCTAAGCAAAAAAAGGCAATGGTCGTGACCGTCGTTAAGAGGGATCTTATTCGTACAAAGCATGCACCACTTGAAAGGCCCTGGGGGGTCATAAAAAGTAAGGGGAAAAGGGAAAGGTGGGGGGAGAGAGAAAAAAACCATGGGTAGAAGAGAAAAACGAATGGAGTAAATTCAAAAGGGAATCAGGTAACTTACAGAGGAACATCCAACAAAAGAAATGATTGAAAATAGAGAATGAAAGAGATGAATAGTCAATGAATGATATAAAGGAGTGATCTCAGTAATCGCTCTAGCATTCCGAGAGAGGTCCAACTGAAGCAGCAGCAAAAAGGAACTGAGGGGACCTTTGGAGGGTGGAGCATACACGCCGCAGGGGAACGTCCTACCAATCACATCTTTAAGCTCTAGAAATGTCCGAGACATCCTGGGCAGGCGCGGAACAACCCAATTATGTGGATACACAGAGGCCACGAAAAAGAACCACCATTGTATACTCATTGTTTTCAGCTTCCAGTATTGTCTTTCAATTAAGTAGGCCACTTTGGGTCCTTTTTAAGGAGAAGAGTAAAATATTTTAAATAAACAAATAAATAATATGAAATGAAATTATTACTGACAATACTGGAGCTGAAATTATTATTGACACATCTTCTGATTAAATTACATGGGCTTGTTATTAACATAAGCCAAAACTCACAGAGTTTGGGCTTACTCCTGAAGTCTGTCTTCTCCAGCCTTGTGATATGCAGTGCTTAGAAAGTGTTTTGCCCTCCTCTATTTTCCTTGAAATTTAGAAAGCTACTTATTTCATGTTTCTATTTAAATATTAGTAATTTTTATTCCATGTTTTCTCCAAAAAGGGTGTGTGTGCTAAAATATATTCTATTCACAGAAACTAGCTTTTGTTAGGCAACCCCAAATGAAGTCATAAGAAACAGTGGCATAGCTATAAATATGGATTCCTGTAGCATTCACTTAAAGGTCATATACTTAACAGCAGTATATGTGAATTATTAAATCTCATTTTGATTTGGATATTTTCTTTTAATATATGGCGTCACAGTAAAAAAGAGGAGATTGTAATACCTACCAGAGAAGGAACAAATGGAGCCAGAATACCGCCGAATCTACAAGTCATTGAACACACACCCAAGCCAGCATTCCTGTTTTTACAAAAGGAAACAAAGTTTGCACAAAATATTTTTCTGAGAATAACAAAACCAAAACTGAATGGTACGAAGATTGCTACCATTCAGTTTCAATGTGCACCCTTTTTCAAGCAGAATTTTAAATTTAAAACCTGAGTAGACAGCAAGTTCTCAACAGAATTTAATCATGGTCCTATCCCACCAGACAATCTACATTCTCTAACTTGGGTGCTCCCTTGCTTTGATACCTGCCACCCATTCTCACCAACCATTAGGTTCCCAGAACTTTGTTCCAGATCAATCGTGGAAACAACTTTTTTACATCTGTATACATACACCACAACCAAGTTGCCAAAATGCATCATCATTGCACTCAGATGGATACAGAATGCTGACTGACTCTTGGAAATCAAGGAATAAAAGGGGAGAGGCATTGGAATAGAATATTTTGTCAGAGAGAATGGTAAGTTGGATGAAACATGGACCTGAAACACTGCAGACAGTGATGTTTTGTTTCTAATCCTACTTAATAAGTGATGCTAAGTGAAAATTCTCCAACCGATATGCATATCAGGACTGAAAAAAATATATTAAAGAATATACTGAATCTCATCTGCTTCCAAACCGAATTCAAAGTGCCAGTTAAGTCTCACATGAATTTGGTCCAGGCTATTTGAAAGACATTATCTCCCCATATATTCCTCCCTGGCTTCTGAGATCTTCAAGGGAGGGCCTTTTCTTGTTCCCACCATCCTCACAGATGTTTTTGGTGAACACATGAGACAAGGTACTTTAAATGGCTACTTCCAGGCTATAGAACTTCCTTCTCAGTTATGGCTAGGCTGACCTCAATTCTGTGCCCTTTTGTCAACAGGCAAATACTTTTTAAAAATAGGCCTTTGGAAATTGACTGTCCTTCTAAGAAATGAGTTGCAATACGTGATGCAGCATACTTTAATGATTCATTGTGGTTTTTAACTGGGTTTTAACTGGTTTTAATGAGCTGTTTCTAACACTGGTAAGTTTAAGTGACTAAAATCCTGTTGCTTGGTGTAATGTTGCAACTAAAGTAGGCCCACTGGAGCTTACAGAGAAGTTGACTCACCAAATCTCTGCTGATTCAATGAGTCTACTCCAGTTGTGACTCACTATGCTAAGCAACAGGATTTTAGCCACTGTATTTTAATATTCTCATTTATTGTTATTTTAATTGTTTGTGTCTTTTAGCCATTTGTGAGCCACTTTACCCTCTTTTTTGGAAGACAGGTGGGGCACAGAAAATAAAATAAATGAGTAAATCTGTAACTCCTTCACTTAATATGTGTCAGTTATAAAAAAAATGAAGAGCAGTATTGCTTTAAAAGATAGGAGAGGTAGAGTTTAAATGAAGACCATATATTTAAAAAGGAAGATCTTGATTCAGTACTACAGTTGCAGCTTGTTCAACAAACTATATTTCTTCTTTAAGGAGAATCCTACTTTGCCATAATCAGCAATAAAACTCATAACAGAATGTGTAGCTGTGAACCTCTTTTTTGCTAAAGATATCCAGGGATGCAAAATTCTCTGGATTCTCCTAGACCAGGCACTCTCTCACAGAGAACCTATCTCCCAGATTTACTCTGAAAATTAAAAAGAAGAAGAAGGAGAAATTGGGGGAGGGAAGCCTGTATGGTATTCTTATTGATTTGGATGAAAGGTAGAATAAAAGAAAGAAAATGAATCAATGTTTATGCCAGTGCAGAGTTTTGATTGCCAGTTTAGATATTCTCAGCCAATGCTGCTCATGTTGAATTAACCATGCATTATTTACATTAAATAAATAAATACAATGCACTATAATGGATGTCTGCTTATTAGTTGCAATACATTTCTCTCCTAAATATTCAAAGCGAAGTTATTTTTTACAAAGCTACACCTTACCACTAGGTGGTGATAAAACTCTATGCTCATATTACTCCAGCATTTTCAATCTTCACGAAATGACAATACATTAAAAACAGAAATATATTCCTCAAATGTGTTGAACCAGCCAGTTTTATTTCAAATGAGCATAGATGAGTTAGTGAAACAATTTTTCCTCTAACTTAGTCTTCCTTCAAAAACAGCTCACAAATCATTTAAAATCTTGTATTCGCACCCACATCTCAAGACAATTTAACTATTAAGAGGAAAATAACTGCACCCCTTTGCCCTACTGAATCACACATTTTTCTTCCTCAGAGCTTGGAAGGGCAGGGAGATAAAACCCACCCCTTTTTACATTTGATGACACCATACTTCAAGGAACTTTTTCATGTTCATAAAGAGTGGTTAGTAACTGGCAACACACTGCTTTACCTCACTCTTGGGCCCACAAATCACTGATCACATTGCCCAAGAGGCTTACTATCTGCTTGCTCCTTTCTCTGCTGCTGGCAGAGCTACTCTGGCAACTCAGAGGCACAAAGGCCAACAGTGCTGTAACTCTAGATGTAATTGCCTTACACTGGGTCAGACTAATGGTCCATCTAGCCCAACACGTTAATATGGATAGCATCTGTAGCGTTTCGGGCAGGATTCCTTCCTAGCATTATCTGGAGATCCCTGATATTCCCTGGAATTCTCTCATCCAAGAACTGAACAAACCCTTCCCTGCTTAATTTCTGTGATCAAATTACTGTATTCTAGGTGACATGGTGCACTGAGATGTGGTTCTATTTGGTTCAATGTGAGCTTTAATTTTAAGTGATTTAAGGTGAGGTTTAGTCATGTGCAGTACGTTATTGATTTAAGCAGAGAATTCTTACGGCACCGGACATAAATATAAAAATAACGATTTCAAATTTCATTTACCTCACTACTGTTGGGTAGAGTTCTGAAGTGTAAATATAAATGATGTTGAAAGCAGCACTTACAGTCAATTTCCCATATAAAGCCAGGACCCTGGGACTGAAGAAAAAGCCTAGAATATAATAGACAAGAAACAATCTGCAAATAAACATGTCTGTTCAAAAACATTATGCTTATCTAGAGAGAAAGACATTCTACTGAAGGCAAGACAACTTATAATCATGTTATCTGAGGCTGATGGGAATTAGAATGCAACATTTGAGAGGTCACCAGCAACATCTGGAAAACCACAGGTTGCCCATTCCTGGTGTACAGAATTACAAAACTAGGCCATTTTGATGGTCCCCTGCACCTATGAATATCTTATAAATTCTAGTTGTTATTCCTTTCATTTTGTTTTCATTTTCATCTACTTTTCCTTCCGCATTGCTGTTTCTTCTAACCTTGTAAGATCCCTGCATTTACTCTTGTTTCTTTCCCAAATTTTATTCCATTGCTCTAATTGAATAAGATCAAGCCACAATGTTCTTTTTGATCTAACATTGCTAACATTTCTTCTTTATTACCCATCTTTTCCAAATAATCATTTAATCTAATAACTTGTTTCTTTGTTAATAAAATTTCCAGATTTTTCATATTTTCTGGAAATTTTTCTAATTCTACAACTGAATATAATGGGGATTACTGATGTTATAAATATTTCCCAATAATTATTCCAAATTAATAAATACTTTTTTTAAAGGATTTTTTTTACAATACTGTTAATATTTTGTTTGAAAAGAATATTCTCAAGGTACTCATCAGGTTACTGAGATTCCAGTCTCAGCTATGTTAACTTCTTAGAATTAGACATGTCAACTATATGTCTCATTTGATTAGCTATATAGTACAACCTTAAATTAGGAAGCCCTAACCCTCCTAATTTTTGAGATTCATATAATCTCCTCTTATTACTCCTTGATTCTTTTTACCTCCAATACAAAAATTATTAATAACATTTTGCCAATCTCTCAACTACTACTATCTTTACCAGTTTGGGCTTTCATGGTTTGGTAGAAAAACAGTATTTAAAATGAAAATTTTACCTAAGATTAATTTTTTTCTTTATGATATACAATAACTGTGGTACAGTTGTTGTTTGGCCCTAATGAACTCCATGTATTTATTTTCTTTTCTTTTTTTTCTAGTATGGTCAGCTGTGTGTACAATGGCAAAAGCTACATTTGATTAGAAAAAAATATATACTCACCACCAACATTTTCTGGTAAGCACATAGTAAATACACAGGCAACGCCTGCAAATATTAAAAATGCAGCTGTACTTTTACATCTTCCTGACCTAAAGTGGGAAGGAAAGCAGATTAAATCTCTGTAAGGATGCATGTCGTTGTTACTTACAATGTTGATAGATTTGTCTCTTAAGGGTCAACTAGATAAGTAACGGAAGGCAAAAATGTGTATGGTGGGAGGAAAATACACTGAGTGCAAAAAAAAAAAAAGACAAGTGCTGTGTCCCCCTTCTCTCCATATCTCGGGAGGTGAACGGATCAGTGCCGAACAAAGTATTCACCTTCCATGAATCAAATCAAAATGACGTTACCTATATGTCTGATGTGCTACCTGCAAAATGCTAAGACTAAATGGGAACTAGGTATCGTATGGCATCACCAAACACTTGTTCTAGGGAGGATTCATTTTTCAGGCCAACCCTCCAAGATGGTTGTAGGACTTCTTCTTCCCAGCATGCTAAACATAGATGAAAACATTGTAATAAATCAGAAGTAAATGGAAAATGCTTAAGGGTCATGTTACCTATGAACTGTACAATGTGTACAGCCTGCATGCAAAACTAGAAAGTTATATAATCTTACCAAGATTTCTCAATGAAGAACATGCACAGAGGGAATGCAGGAACCTCAACAAGGCCAGAAAGTGCCACATTCAGGTATAGATTTCCTCCTAATTCACCAGCATTCAACGTTAGGCCATAGTATACAAGGCTGCACACATACCTAAACATTATGAAAAAAGATTGATCAGTTATGTTCCTCAATATCTGAGGAATTTATGCAATGTTAAGCTGTGTACTAATTTGTTAGGTGGATCCTGCAAGTTGGAAGTTTGTTTCATTCTGCAACAGGGCTTCCATTATTATGAATTCTATATCATTCTTCTTGCTGTTCCTCTCCTACTCAAGCTTGGAAATCATCATGCCTATTCCACCTTTGGATGCAGCCTTTCTAAACATCAATCTTGTATGGCAATTTCCCATTTTAACTTAAATGGTCAGCAGTTTAGCTTTCTTCACTTAATATACACATATTCTTTATCTTTATTCAGTCACCTTAGTACTTCACTGGTCACCTTTTCAGTCAAAAAATCCCTAATTTATCCGGTGATAAATCCACAATTTATCCTAAATGCTTCTATCTTTTTTATAGTAGGACTGTTTAAGGCCAAAATTCCATGACATGCAGCAGAACTGAAAATACACAAGCACTGAGGAATGCACAATTCTCAATGTAAATTTCAAATATTTGTTGCATACTACTTTTTTTTAATGTTGAAGGTCCTCCAGCCCATTACTATTCTGACCTCCTACCTTTATTTCAGACAAGACAAGCAGAAAAACAGAAGTGTATGGTATCTTCAGTAAAATTTCAATTATTCAGTGACCAAAATCCTGTTCTGTCATTGGGCCAGTGGAAGGGAAATAATGTAACTCACAGTGGCTAATTGCCACTAACATTGAGTTCTCGCTTGGATTCCTGTTTGTTTGCCAAACCACCCAACTTAATACACAAAGAGGGATCTAAGTATTTGTGTATTAGCAGAAATTAGTCGTGTTGCAGGATATGGTACAGTGGCGCCTTGCTTGATGAGAATAATTCGTTCCATTCAAATCACTGTTAAGCGAAATCCTTGTCAAGCGAAACGAAAAAGCCCATTGAAATGCATTGAAAACCGGTTCAGTGCGTTCTAATGGGCTAAATACCTAAGCGTCCAGCGAAGATCCTCCATAGGGCAGCCATTTTCAGTACCTGTAAAGTGAGGAATCCATCCTAAAACACAGCAGGGAGCCATTTTAAACAGCGGGCAGCCATTTTGAAGACCTGACAATTAGCCGTAAAGATCGCCGTTAAGTGAAAAATCAGTTCCTGAAGCAGGGAACCGATCGTCGTTAAGCGATTTTTGCCTATTAAAACATCATTTTGCAATCCAAAAGCAATCACAAAAACTTCTTCGTCAAGCAATTTCCTCGTCTAACGACGCAATCGTCAAGCAAGGCGCCACTGTATATTTTTTCCACCAGTGTACAGAACAGGTTTTTGGCCAATGACTCGATTACTGTATTCCAAGTGAACACACAATCTCTACTTAAAACAGATGGCAGTTCTTTCTTGGTATATTGTGACAAAGACAATTCATATGAAGGCATTTGCCATAATTTATTAAATATCACCTAGTACATTTTTCCTATAATAACCATGTTGGTAAAACAGTATGCTTTGCATTTCTGCCTTTCTTTCCTTACAAAAAATTATAATCAGGCTCTCATCCCCTAGGAAGACATAAACTACACTACTCTAAATGAAGCTCACCATTCAGCTCACATTGAATACTTCTAGTTTAAGCCTCATACTAGCAAGGTTAATAAAATATGGAAAAAGAAAAGCCTCAACTGTTGGCACTTTGATTTACTGTGTGTGGATACACATATATGTATGTCAAGATGGTGCTCTCTCATGATTCAGAACAGACAGTGATTCCTCATGTTCTGTATTGTTCTTTGAAATAAGAGGTAACAACAAAAGAGTTCTAGTGCATGCATTTGTTTATCTGTTGTAAACCACCCAGAGTGGCCCTGGCTGCCAACTGGGCAGTATATAAATCAAATAAATAAATAAATAAATAAAATTTAATGGCGTTAAATACCATCTCAAACTGAGTTTTAAATTTTTTCCCTTATTCTCACTGACATAAATCTTAAAACCCTTATTTTCCATATCTTCCTCCATTCTTCTTCATTTATTCTTTTTCCAATATCTTGCTCCCACGCTATTTTCAATCCTTCTTTCTCACTTTCTTCTTCCTCTAAATTAAGAAGCAAGTAAATTTTACTCACAGAACCTTTTACTGAGAAAGTCATCCTAATGTCCTCATATGATAATAAAAATTGTTCATACTTTGTATATTCTCTACCATTATTATATTTCTTTACTCATTCATTAGTCCATCTTTCTAGCTGTATATAATTCAACCATGAAGTGCTCCTATTCTGAAGAGTTTGTTTCATTTGATCTATCAATCTCATTTTATACAATCAATCTTTCAGTCTAATCACTTTTTTTCTTTAAATAATTCCCCATACACTTTCATAATGGTAGGAAAATTATCTGTTTCCGTCACTAATCCGAGTGGGAAATATAATGAACAAAATTAATGCCAGCTATCCGAATGTCTGTTGGAAATGTGAGAAAGAAATTGGTACGTACTTTCATATGTGGTGGGAATGTGAAAAAGTGCAAAGATTTTGGAAACAAATTTTTAAAGAATTAAGCTATATATGTGGAAAAGATATAGAATCTAATGCCGAGATTGCTTTGTTATCAATATATGAGAATGTGGAATATGACAAAATGACTAAAAATTGATAATCAATTTATTAACAGCAGCTAGAATGATTATAGCTAGACAATGGAAATTAAAAGTTGAATTGCAAATCAAAGAATAGTACAAAGAAATACAGAATATAGCAATAAATGATAAATTAACTTGTAATTTAAAGGTTAAGAAAGGAGAGCTGAAAAAAAATTTTTATGAAATATGGGGTAGATTTTTGGAATATGTGTTAATAAAAGGAAAAGGGAAAGCTCCAAATCAATAATCAATACAGTTTTGGAGAAGAGCACAATAATAGAAGAAGAAGAAGAAGAAGAAGAAGAAGAAGAAGAAGATGATGATGATGATGATGATGATGATGATGATGATGATGATGATTACGGCAAGAGGTCCCGCATACGGTGGTGGGATACACAGTTAAATTGTATTTTAGCTTATGTGTTATATGTTTTTGTTTATGTTATACTGTAGCTATAGAAAATAAATAAATAAATAAATAAATAAATAAATAAATAAATAAATAAATAAATAAATAAATAAATAAATAAATAATAGTAATAGCAATAGTAAAATTTTCAGTGAAAGCGGGAATTTAAGAGCCAGAATTTACTTTCCTTGTGTAACTGATTCACATAGTCTCAGCATCTCTTTCTATTAATTACCAGATATACATCAAGATGACAGTGCGCCAGCGAAGAATTGGATGTTTCACTAGGTTTAAGACACCAGGTGCTGAATCATCCTTTTTCACTGCTGCTCTGCACTGCTTCAGTTTCACAGCCAGTCTCTCTTTCTTGTTACCAACGGCTATGTATTGTAGTACACACTCTGCTTCTGCAGTTTTGCCTTGAGAGTATAACCATCTTGGTGATTCTGGAAGCATACTGAAAAAGGACACATTCAAACAGACACATAATAGAACAAAATGGATCATCTGCATCACTTTCTAAAATCTGCATAATAGTAACTATGTCTGTTCATTGGATCATCATACTTCTTTTCCAAACGTAAATGACTGAGACAAAAGGCACACAAAAATACAGAACATTTGCTAGAGCTCTACTATCTTAAAAATCAGAACAGGGTGATATATCCAAAAGCATCCTTAGTCTTCAGGGGATGATGGAAGGTGTAAGAGAGGATGCCAACTTAGGGAAGACTATTTTAAACAGTCCTGAAACAGAAAGGACACTGACCACTGATTTATCAGTAAGACAATTTCCAGCTGCTTGGCTCCTATATCAGTAAAGACACAAGACTGTGTGTTAACATCTACCATTTATAGACATATTCCAGACATAAATCTTTCATTGTAATCTATTTTTCACTTTTTGTGGAAATTAGTAAATCTGAGGAAATGAACTGTTCAGTCATCCAGTTGTAATAAAGCTTTATCAGGCATGGAAAAACTTCAAACCTTTTCTTCCATACATACAAAAGTGAGACTGGATAATGCCCAAATCAATTTTTCTTCTTGTCACATCCTTCTGTATTATTTCTATGGCATGTGTAAACATTTATCTAGAGCATATCAACATTCCAAATAGTAAATGAGGGATTGAACAATGAAACTTATTTTATATTACTATTAACTGGTGTGAACAGCAAACTAAAGAAGCTGTTTCATTCAATGTGATAAGAGAAAGACAAACTTACTGGAGCTGACACATTGCAATGGCTTGTTATGTTAGAGCCATAACCGATTTAACTATTACAGTAGTATTAATAATTAATTCATCTAATACCAAAACATAAGAGACAGAGAGAAGTGAAAGAGGGGAAATATTTATTTGATTCACTTTATTTCTAATTAACACCTCTCCCCCCATATATTTGTTTCTAGATCTCATTTGTTTGTTATGTTCCAGCTATTACTCACTTACAAATCATGCATTTTATGCAAGATTTCTGTTAACTCAAAAGAATCTTGATTCAATTCTTGGTCGCTTACTGCAGCGATAGGCATCGTTCCTTTGTTCCTACAACAACCTACAAGGAGTAAAATTCCTTCTCCTTTCCTTCACCCAGTGGTCCTCCTGTATCTTACCCTAGATTGCTGAGGAGCTCCTTACAGCTTCCTGAGGAGGCTTTTCAGGTAGGCAATGGGAAACCTTTTCCTATCAATGTCTTTAATTTGTTCCTTGCCTTCCTTTTTCATCACTAAGCCACAAGTGTTCCTGCACAACAGATTTGTTCATGCTCTGATCAACATTAATATCAGTGAATCTGAAGTTCATTTTGATTTTGTTTTTATTGGAGATGCAGTGCAAAACCGAACATTTTGCTGTGACAAGTCAAAAATAAAGGAAAGACTAATCAGTAAAGAGAAATATCCTGAAGTTATACTGATTGAATATTACTTGGCATACAGCAAATTAAAATTTCTGCCTATATCCTTCTGTCCCCCCAGAAAACAGTACTAAAGGTCCAGTAAAGATCTGTATTGAAATTACATACACACACACAAAAACATATATGTATTCACAGCAGCAACAACAACTACTACTACTACTATTACTACTACTACTTACAAAGAGAGAAGGAAAAAGAACAATCCAGGAGAATTTGATACGAAGGCAAGGAAACGCCACTCCCTTATGTAATAACCCAATAATGCATAAACTGCTATGCCAACTGCAAAAGTCAGATTTGTCAATGAGCCTAAAAACAGAAGCAAAATAAAAACAAATAAATCATTAAAAAGCTATTTACTGGTGTAGTAGCTTGGGAATATAATTATTTAGAATACAGTTTTATAACCCCTCACTCATGAGCAATCCAAATTATTTCAGGTGGGATCCCATGCATAATCTTCCCTGTTTTTAAATGACATGAAGTAACTCCATGGACTGTGTCAAATAGCAACAATTCAAAATAACATTATTAAGATACAATCTTCATTATTCATCTCTATTTAAAAGTACATCTCAATTTAAAGAATTAAAGCACAAAAACTGAATTGCAAACATGACACTGAAACAAATAAACAAAAAAGAATGGGAAAAATATTGTAACAGATGTTTTCTACATGCTCTAACATTTAATCCAGATCAGGGTTGGGAACAACAACAACAACAAAAACAAAAAAACAAGGATGGGCTAGAATGTCATTTTTAAAAAACTTATTAGCATGTCAATCCTACTTATTTCAGCGGCAAGCAGTCTCCTTGACTTCAAAGCAAATTACCCTAAAGCTATATACCCTACAGCTAACAAACCTATGTATGTTTACTTGTAAGTAAGCCCTAGAGAACACAAGGACTTCTAAGTAAATGTGGATAAGATAGTGCTGCAAGTCTCCACCTTCATCGGACAGTAGCCTGATTATGATGCCATGTGGGTTTTACAATCTTCTGAAGAGCACTGAATCAGTGACAGGAAAAACAAAATGCTTGTATCTATTCTGTGCATTATTAAATTATGCTAGACACCAGCAGCTCACAAAGCACACTTCAAATACTGTAGCCTCAGACATTGTTGTCATGACAACATACACATCATCAACAATGTTGTGAAAGGCAATCATCAATGGCGCCTTCTCCATGCCAAGTTTTAATCTACTCTCTCAGCCAGCTCACTGGCAAGAGGCACTAAGCAACACAGCACCCGAAAAAGCAACAGGAAGCAGAGCATCTCTTCAAGCTCTCAAAGGCCAGTTCCAATGAAAGTAGATGACAAGTGAGCCAAGATAGCCCCACAAAAAGGAAAACTGTAAAGGGGAAAGAGACAAAGAGGAGCAAGCTGGGAACATAGGACCAAACAGATGGGAACTTTTGGGAGAAGAAGGAATACCATAATGATAATGAGAACACATGATCCCATGAACATTTGCTTAAAAATGAAAAGAACAGGTAAGGATGGATAGCATAAGACACTACTAGAAAAATGCAGAGAAGAAGGTTTAAAGGACCATTTCAGGTGATACTAACTATGTACCTACAAGGCAGGCTTCAGCAGTATGTGGATCAAGAACTCCCAGAAATACAAGCTGGATTTCGAAGGAGCAAAGGAACTAGAGACCAAATTGCTAACATGCGCTGGATTATAGAGAAAGCCAGAGTTCCAGAAAAACATCTACTTCTGCTTCATTGACTATGCAAAAGCCATTGACTGTGCAGATCACAGCAAACTATGGCAAGTTCTTAAGGAAATGGGAGTGCCTTACCACCTTATCAACCTACTGAGAAATCTATATGTGGGACAGAAAGCAACAGTTAGAAGTGGATATGGAACAACTGATTGGTTCAAAATTGGGAAAGGAGTACGACAAGGCTGTACATTGTCTCCCTGCTTATTTAACTTATATGCAGAATATATCATATGAAATATCAACAACCTCTGATATGCAGGTGATACAACTCTGATGGCAGAAAGTGAGGAAGAATTAAACAATCTCTTAATGAGGGTGAAAGAGGAGAGCGCAAAAAATGGCCTGAAGCCCAACATCAAAAAAAAATAAGATTATGGCCACTGGTCCCATCACCTCCTGGCAAATAGAAGGGGAAGATATGGAGGCAGTGACAGATTTTACTTTCTTGGGCTCCATGATCACTGCAGATGGAGACAGCAGCCATGAAATCAAAAGACGCCTGCTTCTTGGGAGAAAAGCGATGACAAATCTTGACAGCATCTTAAAAAGCAGAGACATCACCTTGCCAACAAAAGTCCGAATAGTCAAAGCTATGGTTTTTCCTGTCGTGATGTATGGAAGTGAGAACTGGACCATAAAGAAGGCTGACCGCCGAAGAATTGATGCTTTTGAACTGTGGTGCTGGAGGAGGCTCTTGAGAGTCCCCTGGACTGCAAAGAAAACAAACCTATCCATGCTGAAGGAAATCAACCCTGAGTGCTCACTGGAAGGACAGATCCTGAAGATGAGGCTCCAATACGTTGGCCATCTCATGAGAAGAGAAGACTCCCTGGAAAATACCCTGATGTTGGGAACGTGTGAGGGCAAGAGGAGAAGGGGACGACAGAGGATGAGATGGTTGGACAGTGTCATCGAAGCGACCAACATGAATTTGACCCAACTCCATGAGGCAGTGGAAGACAGGAGGGCCTGGCGTGCTCTGGTCCATGGGGTCACAAAGAGTCAGACACGACTTATTGACTAAATAACAACAAATTATATACCATCAAGGATTTTGATTTATGGTGACAATGCCATGACTTTTGTTGTATATAGTAGTCATAAGTGATTTTCTTGTCCCTTCTAGAGATGGGGGGTATTCGTATTCATATACAAATATCCCTCCACAGGTGCAGATAACGAGGGTCCAGCCCCCTGAGGCCACTGGAGTGATAGGAAGGGAGTGCGGAGCCCGCAGCAGCCGCGGAATGGTGACTGGTCGGTCTGGCCCCAGGGGGCCGGACCCTCGTTATGTGCACCTGTGGGGGGAATATTTCTATACGAATACCGCCATCTATAGTCCCTTCTTTTTGTTGCACTCTGGGATCCTGCAGCTTGCCTAAGGCTGGTGAGGTGGCAAGGCACACTATCCCATTAACCACACATACTGTGGGATATCTCAGCTGGTCTGTCTGCAAAGAAGCACACTGAACATTCAAACTCTTAGCTCTGACCTCACAGCCAGGTGCTCCAACTCACTGAATCATGTCAACTCATGCATATGTTATGTGTCAACAGGTGTGAAAAAAATCAAGTAATGACAGTGTCATATTCAAAGAGAAGAGCTGTGGAGGCAGGTGTGTATGTTTCACTACTTTTGCTAAGGTTCCCGCTAGATATCTAAACTCAGTCATCCCTGACTAAACCATAAATGCCTTGTACTGTAAGAGAAGTATGTGGTCATGAACCTTGAGAGTCATTACTTTAAACAGCAAGAACCATTATTTCAATAAGGAAGATAGGAAAGCAGAAATTATAGCACTCAGTTACGTTGTGTGGACAAAATGTTCTACCATTTTCAAAATGCATCAGCAACACAACTGGGAATATTTTAGAAACAAAAATGCGGAAAAAATATTTTGTTTTTCTCAAAAAGCTATTCACTGACTAAAACTGTTCAAAACACTACACAAGCACGAGTTTTTGAATGTTTTAAAAATTGTGGGATCTGGAGTATTAATACCAACTCATTCTACGTCTAAAAATATACTAAACATAAAAAGATGGATTTGACCACATTTGAATTTTCTTTCATTTCATAGATTCAAATAAGTTTTTGTATCTTACCTGTCAGTGCCCAGAAGGACTTCCCTACATATTCTTGTGTCAAAACAAAAGATACCAGAGACATGCCACCATTCATAATTCCAACAAAAAACCGTGACATGGCAAAAATTTCATAGTTTGGAGCAAATGCTGAGACATACCCAAAAATGACATCAAACAGAAGACCTGTGGAAAAAACACAAGCAATAAGTAAACTTACTCTCAGATCTTTGTGTACAGGGGTTGATTTGTGGGCTTAAATACAGAAAAAACAAAGAAAATATATACAGACTTATTTCATGGTGGATGAAATCTCGGTACCACCAGAATAAATGATCATAAAATGTTTTAGTACTTTAAAATATAGACAACATCAAATTAAAAAAATACCCAACAATATTTAATAATCATAGCATATCTGTATCTAACAGCCATCAATCTACAGTGGTGCCTCGCATAGCGACGATAATCTGTGCAGCAAAAGGAAAGCGATTTCATCGCTATGCGAAATAAAAAAAGCCCATAGGAATGCATTAAAACCTGTTTAATGCGTTCCTATGGGGTATAAACTTACCTTTAAGCGAAAATCCTCCATACGGTGGACATTTTGGGTGCCCAGTAAGCGAGGAATCCATCCCTAAACACAGCGGGCGGCCATGTTTTTTACCCAGTGTCCATTTTGGAACCGCCGATCAGCTGTTTTAAAATCATCATTTTGCGATGATCGGTAAGCGAGGCAGGGTACCAATCATCGCAAACCGAAAAAAAACCATTCAGACCATCGCAAAGCGATCGCAAAAGCGATTGCGAAATCCTCATCGCTATGCGATTTCGTCGTTAAACGGGCCGCCCATTAAGCGAGGCACCACTGTAATGGCTCTTGTTGGCAGGCTAGACTGGGCAAGCTCTTACAGGTGCAAATATTCATTCAGATCACATGATCCAAAACTATTTACAGCTTTCAAGGCCAAAACAAGCATTTTGCATTGCATTTCTTATGATATTTTACTGCTGTACCAAAGCACAGAAGGGACGTAGTGGCACTGCGGGCTAAACCACAGAAACTTCTGTGCTTCAAGGTCAGAAGACCAGCAGTCGTACAATCAAATCCATGCGACGGAGTGAGCTCCCATTGCTTGTCCAAGCTCCTGCCAACCTAGCAGTTTGAAAGCATGTAAAAATGTGAGTAGATAAATAGGTACCACCTCAATGGGAAGGTAATGGTGTTCCGTGTCTAGTCGCGCTGGCCATGTGACCACGGAAACTGCCTTCAGACAAATGCTGGCTCTATGACTTGGGAGTGGGGATGAGCACCGCACCCTAGAGTCAGATATGACTAGACTAAATCTCAAGGGAAATCTTTACCTTAAAGCATGAACTTTTACCAATATACCGAAAATCTATTCCTATCTATGTACAATTCTGCAATTTCAAAGCTCTGTAGAACACTTCTTTAGTGTTATGATGTGCAAAACAACCCACAAAAGAGCCACCATGTAAGAACAAATATTAGCAGCAAAGCTGGAAATATGTGGAAGTCTTGTAGGAGACAGCATTCTCTATAAGCTTACCTGTTAGATACACAGGCTTCCTGCCCAATTTATCTGATAAGGGACCAAACATTATATTTCCAAGAAGTAATCCACCAAAGTACAGGGATGATGCCAAGCTCACTTTATATGCTTCATGTCTGATTAAATACCACTGTTGAAAACAAAAATACATATTTTCAGTTAAAAGACAACGGGAGTGATCTTGTACCTCTCCTCCAGGACTCTGACCTTCTACCATCCCACAAAAAGTCTACACTTTTAAAAAATACTCTTTTTAGAAAGTCCTCTGGCAGCATGGATAAAAATCTAAGATTTTTTTAAATCAAATTGATTTAAATCACAATTTAAATTTTAAAACTAACTTTTAAAATTTAAATAGTAAAAAACCCAATTTTTAAAATTTAAATAATTATTTAAATCAATCTTATTTAAATCAATTTGACCCTGCCTTCTGGATATATAGGAGCAATGTTTTCTTGTTTTGAGGGGGACCCAGCACCACTGGGTCCCCCATGCCACCAAACTGTAATTTTAATTAAAAAAAATTAACAGCTAGAAGGAGAAAGGAAAACTTGCAGGTCAGAACTGAGGTAGCAACTGCTTCTTATGAAGCCCTACAGCAGGGGTCCCCAAACCCCAGTCCGCGAACCTGTGCCGATCTGTGGGCTTCCTTGAACCGGGCCACAGACACAGATCTTTGCCCCCACCCCACCCCATGCAGGAAAGCTGAGAACAATAAGGCCCATATGCCCAAGCCTAGAGAGCACGGTAGGCTTAAGGCCCTAGATACAGGAAGGGATCCCACCCCTCCTTTGTGAAGTGAAGCAGGAGTACAGGCTAGAACACATCACTTGAAATAATGAGGCCAGGGAGAAACGAGGGCAAGAGTAGTAGTGCCAGGGAAGCAACTTCATCAAGGCAAAGTCGGGGTGCACTCAGGCACCACACCCTCTCGTGGCCTTTGTCTTCACGCATCCCCGGCAGCCAATCATGGGCCAACAGGGGGAGGGGACGGAAAAGCAAATCCACGCCTTGCAGACCCGCAATCTTGCCACTGCTCCGGTTCCTCTGCCTCAGTGCGTCTCCCCACCTCCCGCTCCTCGCTTCTCGGGAACTGTCACCCTGTTCCCTACAACCAGCTTGGGCTCCTTTGGCTCAGTGTGCCTTCCCTTTTTCCCGCCTTTCTTTCTCGGAAAGTGAGGAGGATGGTTCGGCCACGGAGAGGGGAGGCAAGCAGTTGCTGCCACTGGATCCCAATCGCTGTGGCGACAAAGGGTTTCAACAGGGAGCTCTGCCTCCTCCTCTGCCTTCACCATCTCAGGAAGAGAAACAGCCGGACAGGAGAGGACAGGGGGAGCCCAAGCGCAGCGTCAGCTGAGTGGCGGCGGCGGCCTCTGCCAAAAACAAGCCTTCCATGGCGGCCACTTGGATCCGTGGACTGCAGCAGTCTCTGAAGAGGCACCTGCCCGGCGGGATGGCGGCTGCTGATGCTCACGCCATGAAGAGAGAAAGGTGAATTTGGGCGGCAGAAGTGACAAGAGCAGCATAATCTTGTGAATACGAACCAAAGTTAAAAAATGGGGAAGGAGCAGATTTCTTGCTGAGATTGTAAGCATCTTGAGAAACAGATAGAAGAACATCTAGACTGCATTATCAAGATGTATTTATTAGGGCAACTTACCCCCCTGAATTCAACAGGGATTGCCACTTTCGGAGTTACAGAGAATACCAGTGTAATATCCAATAGATATGTAAATATGTTGTTCTTTTTGAATTTGATATGCAGCAAACCTTTGTTTACTTTTTGCCATAAACCACGAGCAATTCCTTGATTGATTGATTGATTTTGCTTTCCCCGGTTAGGAGGGCTTTGTTGGAGGTGTCGCAGCACAGATGAAATAATGCCTGTGGGAATCTTGCCATAGTCCATTAGTGCTGCTTATACATTTTTAAACTGCAAACAAAGTGGTACAGTGGTGCCTCGCATTACGATGTTAATTCATTCCAACGAAAACATTGTAAAGCAATTTCCTCCATAGCGCAGCCATTTTCGCTGCCCGTGCAGCGAGGAATCCGTGCTAGAAAACAGTGGGTGGCCATTTTTTAACCCAGCGGCCATTTTGAAACTGCCGATCAGCTGTGCGAAAATCATCATTTTGCGATATTCGGTTAGCAAAGCAGGGAACCGATCATCGCAAAGCGAAAAAAACCCATAGGAAACATTGTTTTGCAATCGCTTTGCGATCTCAAAAACTTCGTCGTTATGCGATTTTGTCGTAAAACGAAGCGCTCGTCTTGCGAGGCACCACTGTATTTGGATATTCAAGACTTTTAGCTTGTTCCTGTGAGGTAGAGAGTACTGTTTATATGAGAGTGTATTTCTTTATGTAAATAGCATTCTCTTAGTCTGTCTTCTCAGTCCTGAACTAAGTAAATCTGAAATTTATGTCCTTTACCTTAGTAGTGTTGACTACAGCCTAAATTCAACTGGTCATTCCAATTAGAGTAGACTGGTGAAATCAGTGAGATTTACATGTGTTGGCTTAATCAATCAGTAGTTGATTGGATGAGTCTGGTCTAATGGAACAAGAAACTTAAGCCTATGGTTTTGACTAAGATAAATTAATATGTTTAGCTAATATTCTCAGACAGTATTTTACATATTTATATAGAACTGTAAATCTGAAGACTGAATCCATATGTGTCTCCATGAGGCATGTTTAGGTGGGCCAGATAGGCGGGGTATTAATTAATTAATTAATTAATTAAT